CGGGGCGTAGGGTCGGCACAGGCGTGGTAGGAGCCAGCTTTGTTGTCTGATGTCTGTTCTGCCCCACTGCAGCCCCCGAGGAAGGGGAACGTTGTGCCCCTGTGTGCCCCTGTCCCTAGAATGCAGAACTCGGTGCCACCTTGAGTGAGTGTTGAGTACAGCCGGTCAGGAGCACATTAACAGCAGTGTAACAGGCCTTGGAAATAATTCCGTCTACCCTTTACTCTTCAGTCCCTCCCTGAGACTGACCGCAGTCCCAGCTGGCACAGTTCAGACCAGTGCTGACAGGCTGGAACCGGTTCAGAGCAGGACATCCTTACTGGGCAGGGCCTAGACCTGGCACTGCTGTTGGGAATATTGAAGGAATGGGGAAATGTAGTCTGGAAAAGAGAAGACGGCAGGAAGGCATGGACACCTCCCCACTCAGAGGGGCTCCTGTGGAAGGCCCTGTCTTCTCTGAGCGTGTCTCAGCCAGAACTACGAGATCTGTGGCTTCAGGGCTGCTGTGTCTGTCTGTCCCACAGTAGAGTGGGTGCCTTGTGACCTTGGTTGGAAAGATCTGTATTGTTGGGTGGAAACTTGTGATTGGTGAAAGTGAGTTGAGTGTAAGCTCCCTTTCTGACTCTACAGTGATTAGAGATTCTTATTTCCTGAAGACATATACTGGGTAATTGTTAACGCTACTGTTGTTTTTTCCAGAATGGCTATACTCCCTTACACATCGCTGCCAAGAAGAATCAAATGCAGATAGCGTCCACTCTCCTCAGTTATGGGGCGGAGACTAACATCGTGACAAAGCAGGGAGTGACCCCACTCCATCTGGCCTCCCAGGAGGGCCACGCAGACATGGTCACACTGCTTCTGGGCAAGGGGGCCAACATTCACCTGTCCACCAAGGTATCGTTCTCGCCTCTCACTTCAGGCCAGGCTTCGGGGGGAATGTAAACAGAACCAAAGACAACTCGGAATAGGAGGGGAGACGCATTGGAAGGGCACAGGAAGGGTGCCAAGCTTCCCTGAGGACTGGGAGACCCAGACGAAGTGAAGGTTCCAGTCCTGACCCCACCTGTGTGGCAGTGTGGACGCATCCTGACTCTGCTCTCACTTCTCTGCTCTCTGCTCTGCGTGGCTGACGAGGCTTCCTGAGGCTCCCGAGAGCCACGTCACTGCAGTTCAGGGCTAGTCAAGGTTGCCCTCACGTCTGCTGGTCCTGATCCCAGGAGGGCTGGGAGGGGCAGTTCTGTCGAGTCCAGTCCAGATAACTGTGCCCAGCAGGACCCTGTCCCCCACCCAGGCTCTCAGGCACCTCTGAGTGAGACAGCAACTCAGGAAAATAGAATAAAGGTCTTTTCCAGTCAGCTTCAGCCTCGACGGGTGGTGGTCGTTGTGGTGGTCAGAAAATCAGTGTTTTTAATAAAGCACCTCATCAAGGGGCCAGCAGGTAGTGTAGTCGTTACGGTGCTGGCCGACTACGGTTCAAGTCCTGGAATTGTGGTGTGACCATCCCCCTGGGGGTGATTTCTTGCCTTTCTTCTCTCTGTCTCTCTAGCAAGTGCACACACCTTATGGCGGAAATCTTAAACATTTTTAATTAATTAGAAATATAAAGCACCTCGTCATTTCATTTCATCTTTTCTCCTGACAGTGGGCCAGTGTATAATTAAGGAAAATGTTTTCAAATACTAAAGGGTTAGTGTTACAAGTTCACGTTTGTCTGTACGTTTGCATACCTGGATATAGCTCCATGCGTGCGTGGCCTGAGCCAGCTGTGCCCACAGCTCCGTGGGCCTACTCGTCACCTGTCCCATCCACATGTGGTACTGCACAGGCCTCCTCCCAGGAAGCAGAAACCACAGCCACGTTCACAAGCTCCTGTGTCTCCTTGCCCTCCGGATGCTTTTTGTAACGTGTGGTGTGGGTTGAATGAAAATGAAGTTGCTGTAGATTTTCCACAGATAGACAAATGCTGTTTTCTGCACTCGTTGGTGCTTTTGGAGCATCAGCTGTGAGTTGGTGTGGATCCCATCTGAGTAGGTCATGTGGGGTGTAGCCTTTACACGGCACTGTGACACAGGCCTGTCTGCGGTCCTCGTCCGTTCTCTGTCACTCAGAACATTCCGCCACATTTATGCACTTCTCTGGTCCTCATGGATCCTTTCTTAAAGTTGGTGAGAGCTAACTACAGGGCTAGTCTTTCAAAACTTACTTGTATTTTAACAAGAATGAGTAAGATAAAGCCTACGGTAAGACTCAGGGATCAGTCAGACCATCAGGAGCATGGACGTCTTGGTCTTTTGAAGTCCTGCCACTCGGGTTGTCATTTATTTTACTGGAGACGTGGAGTCCTTGAACATACAGGAAGAGAGCACGTGTTTACTATATATTAAAAACATCTTCATTTGAAAATGAGCAAAATAAATCCTTGAAGTAGTTTGGCAAAATTTTGAGGAAGACTAAATAGTTCACAAAAACTGATCATGCAATGTCTGATGCTGTTTTCTTTGTTTTTAAGAGAGATTTGTTGCTATAGGGCATGTACACTCACTGGAGAGACAGAGAGAGAGTGAAAAATCACCCCGGAGAGTGGGGTGGCCACACTGCAATCCTTTCTCCATTCTCATCTTGGGATTTGGGGCATGTACTGCATACACGCCCCAAGTGAATTTCAAGCTTCCAGACTGGGACTCAAACCACAGTTGGCCATGTGGGAATCCAGTGCCTTAACCATTATCCCACCTGCTGGGCCTGATGCTGTTGTTTTTAATTTACAAAAATGATAGATACATAGCTAGAATCCGTTCACTGTTCCTTCTTGCTGGTTCCTTCTGTCAACATGTAGCCTATGCTTCCTTCGAGAGCGCTTCAGCAGTCAGCCAATGTTTAATGGGTATTTTGAGCCACACATGTAACCATGCAGGAAAACAGCAAGTTTGGAATCACAAAGTAATTAAGATCTTTTTGTTTTAGGTTTTTGCTATAAGGTACTTGTGCTCATTGGACAGAGAGAAACAGAAGGAAAGTGAGAAATCACCCCCCGGGGGAACGGCCACACCGCAGTCCCTTCCTTACTCTCCTTTCAGGATTTTGGGCATGCACACACACGTACCTGGTGTGTTTTCAGGCCGCTGGCTCCAGCACTTGAGCCACAGAATTGGCCACAGAGGACCCAGTGCCTTAGGCACCACACCACCTGCCGGCCACTGTTTGCTATTTTTTGGGGAAAATCAAGATGATGAAGAATCTTATGTTTCGTCACAATGTTCACATTTGTTTTTAATACCTTAGAATTACATAAGATTTGTTTAGAAGTAATAAGATATTAATGCAAAGAATAGTTTTGTACCTCTCTCTGAGGTTATTAACCTCAGAGCTGTATGCAGGTAGAGCTCTAAGGAGTAAAGAGCCCTAGACCTTGACGTGAGAAGCTTCCTCTGAAGTTGTTGGTTGTTCCTCCCTCTGTGGTTTCACTTGTGGTTTTGTAAAGGTCAGAGGAAGTCACTGAGGCCCGGCGGGCTAGCTCAGTGCGGGTGTGGGGCAGTCCGCAGTGTGGCCGGGAGGCCTGGCCACTCCAGCAGTGATGTGGGGAGGAGAGTACCATTCTGGAAGCAGCTGTAGGATGTGTGGGAGGGTTTAGGCAGTCAGTGTTGAACAGCGGCGGATGCAGCGTGGACATACTGTCAGCTAGGGCAAAAGCTCTACGTGGTACATGAACAGCGCTTTGTTTTTTAAGAGATTTTTGCTGATGGGTGCATGCACTCGCCAGAGAGACAGAGGGACTGAGTGGGCAATCACTACCCCGGGGGGAATGGCCACGCCACAGTCCGTTCTGTTCTTGGGATCTTGAGCACGTACATGCACATGCCTGGCTTGAGTTTTAAGCCACCAGGTCTGAGACTTGATGGGTTTGAAGTGAGTGTTGTTTGGATATCAGCTGGCTGAGTCTCGCATCCTAGCACAGCATAGAACCCACTGTAGAAAACAGAAAATGTATTTGCAAAAATGTTGGTTAGCTCAGAGACCGTGTCTCAGATGAGAAGTCACGTTTGCTTAGAAGGAGCCGAGCGTGTGAGGGGTAGGGGCTGCTTGGGTGGTGCTGCAGAGGACCAGTGTGTTCTTGTCACCAAATGTGCCTCTCTGCGTCCATTATCTTTCCACAGAGTGGACTCACATCTTTGCACCTTGCAGCCCAGGAAGATAAAGTGAACGTGGCTGACATTCTCTCCAAGCACGGGGCAGACAAGGATGCTCACACCAAGGTCAGGCCAGTCACCCGTGGTATTGTGGCTTAGGTGGCTCCACACAGCTGCAGTGGGCTGCACCAAGTTCAGGTTTTCCCGTCAGAAATGCAGTCTGCAGGGTCCGTTAGCGTGCCCCACTCCTGCTCGCACGGCTGTGCTGTTGGCCTGTCCTTGTTGGAGTCCAATCCAGACGGGGACTGTGGTGTCAGGACACCCCACAGAAGACCGCCTACGGCTCATGTCTGCACCAGCCTGCATGGCGTGCTGCTCTCCTCCGTGTATGAAGGGGCTCTAGCAAGCTCATGGAAAATGCAGATTATGAAAATCAGTGCATGGATTTCAAACGTTTTTGCATGAAAATAAGCTGGTTCGCCCTCACACCCTCGGCCTCGGACTGGCTTGCCTGTGTCTGTGTCCCCCAGGCCTTAGCTGTGCCTTGGACCCAGTGTCACATCATCCTCTGGCATCTCTTCCTATCCTCATATCAGAGTCAGTCTCTCATCCCTGTCCTCAGATCTCACTGTTGTGCCTCTCTCCATTCTTGGTCAGATTTCGGCATCTGCGTCTGATCTGTCTTGCTGGTGTGAAAGTCCGTGTGGTCAGGGGTGTGCTCACACCCAGACTCATGCCCACAGCCCAGGTGTGCAGCCTGCTGTGTGATACCCATACAGTGAGATGGAGTTTCTGCCCATCCTGCTGTAACAGACTCTACTGAACCCCTCTCCCCTATAGTAGGAAAGTTTCTGTTTGTTTTTTATTTTGTTTACAGCTAGGTTACACTCCTCTAATTGTGGCCTGCCACTATGGAAATGTGAAGATGGTCAACTTCCTTCTGAAGCAAGGAGCCAACGTCAACGCGAAGACCAAGGTACGGTCCTCTAGCTGTTTCCCTTTCCTAAGAGGCAGGCCGGCCGTCTGAACGCTTCCCTAGTTTACCGTAGCTACAAGGAGATTTTGTTTACTTTTAGTTCTTGTAAAATGATTTTGAATGGGTGATGTTGTTTTGCATTTGCTCAAGACTTCTCATCAGCCTCACGGCCACGCGGGCCAGCCTCAGAGCTTCCGTCCTGAAGCTGACGCTGGCTCAGTGCCTGCCGCAGCACACGTGCCTGCTCGACCCCGAGGTGCGATGGCTGATCTCCCCTTGTCAAGGCCTTGGCCCCCTCCCCTGCCCTTTCTCCCACCAAGAAACATACAGGCAGCCAGGCTACGTGCCTTTCATCTTTAATGACCTCTGCCCCGTTGGGAACGTCACGTGGCATGCTCAGTGCGCACTAATGTGTAAGCCTGGGTGGAAGTTCTCAAGGGTAATGACCTGAGCCCAGCAGTTTCTTCAGTGGCACCTGAAGGGTCCCAGGTACCAAAGCAAGGTTGGAACACAGCCCCCTGCTTCAGTGCACTGAGGCTGGTCCAGGGGAGGAGAAGCGCACACTGGAACTGCCACCACTATCACGTGCCACGCCACATTCCTGGGTCCAAAGAGAGAGCTGCTGGGTTGTCGGAAAAGTCATGTCGCACTTTGCAACAGGTGGGGCCGGTTCATTTTTCTGAAGTCCCGGAGTCATTCACATCTGTTACTGCTGTGTTCTTTGATGACGGACAGTTCCAGCTTCATTCTAAAAGAATCTAAGCAATTTGGTTAAGTTTTGGAGATTTTACAACAAGTTGAAGACAGAAGACCAAACTGCATTTTCTGCATATTTTACTTCCTTAAAGGGAAGAAGGCGTGTCAGGCTTCTGGAGAGGTGTGTGCAGTCAGGGCTGACCCTGGCCAGCCCT